TGAAACCAAGGATTTTTAAAGCAACCTAAGTTTGACCTCAAGGAAAATCAGACCAAGTTCCTGACAGAGTTGCTATGAAGATAACGTGATGAAGTTAAAGAACTTTGGGAGATGGAAAAAACCTAGAAAAGTCTCACATAACGCAGGTTACTTAGAATTAGTCTTTTGACTTTTGGTTGTTTTGAAATGCAGGTGGTGTTTTAGCTGAATGCTATGTGTAACATACTTCCCACTGGCATAGAACAACTGCTGCATTATCCTGCCAGCCAAGTGCCTTTAGGATAGCATCTGGCTGTAAGTTGTAGTTAATAAGAGATGATACTCATGAGAAAGATGACAACGATCCTTTGTGTGATGTGCTACAAGCTAAAAGTAAGCCACTGTTTTCAATATAGGATTTACTTCATTGTAGTAAACTAACGACAAAGTGAGTGGATCTGTACTGAGATCAAAGCCTTCGTTCCAAATCAACCACAGCCCTTACTCATCTAAGACCCAAACAGTCCAAAAGCTGTACGAACTAATACTGTCCAGCCAAATTAGTACTTCATAATATTTTTTTTCAAGTACAATGCCACCTGGAAATGTTCAGTCAGCAGACACACATTTATAAGCTTTTTCATTCTTAATAGAATTGTTTATAGTTGGGAGACAAGACACAAAATTAAGTTGATCAGAGACTTGCGAACAAGTGCATAAGCAGAGTTAATTCATTTTTATCAGGTTATGGTATGGTGCATCTCCCATTAGAATACACAACAGACTTTTCATATCCTCCACAAGACACAAACTTAATTTTCTCAAAAGTCATGTATAGATTTGATAAAGAGCTGGCAAGGATGATCTGCAGCAGGCAAATGTTTGCCGGGCCTCCAGATACAAGACTTTGATCAGAGTTAAAATCCCGAAGCCGTCTCCCCCACTGACTGTTTTGTCGGAGCAGCCGTAGATAATTTACAGCAGTCGGAGGGAAAGGTACGTAAACTGAATCAGTGCAACAGAACAGTGACATTCTCTGCACCACCGCTGTAGCCTGCGGGATGGAGGTGTCCTTAGCTGCAGGAAGTTAACCATGACAGTTCTGGTAGATCATTCATGGTCTCCTCTCCCTTCCATAACCTGGAAAAAACACGAAAGTGACTTTAGTACCTTGAAAACTTTAAGAAACCCTCTGTCATGGTTTAACCTCGGTATCCAGCTCAGTCCCACGCAGCCACTCGCTCACTCACCCCCCTCCCCACCCCCCTCCCCCGCTGTGATGGGGGAGAGAATCGGAAGGGGAAAAGTGAGAAAACTTGTGGGTTGAGACAAAGACAGTTTGATAGGTAAAGCAAAAGCTGTGCGCGCACAAGCAAAGCAAAACAAGGAATTCATCATTCACTCCTTCCCATCGGCAGGCAGGTGTTCAGCCATCTCCAGGAAAGCAGGGCTCCATCATGCGTAACCGTTACTTGGGAAGACAAACGCCATCACTCCGAATGTCTCCCCCTTCCTTCTTCTTCCCCCAGCTTTATATGCTGAGCATGATGTCACATGGTGTGGAATATCCTTTTGGTCAGTTTGGGCCAGCTGTCCCAGCTGTGTCCCCTCCCAACTTCTTGCGCACCCCCAGCCTACTCACTGGCGGGGCAGCACGAGAAGCAGAAAACGCCTTGACTCTGTGTCAGCACTGCTCAGCAATAACGAAAGCATCCCTGTGTTATCAACAGTATTTTGGTCACAAATCCAAAACATAGCACCATAGCAGCTACTCTGACAAAAATTAACTCTATCCCAGCCAAAACCAGTACACCCTCCTATTTCAGGGTCATTCCAGTATTTCACTGAACTCAGAGAAGGAAACATGGAAATTCACTCACTCCAGATCAAAACCTAGTGTTAGTTCCTTACAGTTTCTCTTCAGCAGGCTGCACGAGATGACTAAACTGGAGAGAATTTAGGTGGTATCCAATTCGCATAGCAAAAGACAGCAATAGGAAGTTAGCAGAACTATGATGCTCCTTTGTATGTATTAATTAGACCTGATAATCATCTCTATATGGTGAATGCATGCTACTTGGTGCAACAACTCAAGCAACTTCATTTAACAACTACAGAGGCAAAAAGTATTGGCAGACAGTATTTACGTGAAGTCTATACTGGTCTTAGCTCAAATATTTTCAAGCTGTGAAACTCACCTGTTAAATGCTTCACCCAGAAGTAGAATATGGATCTAGGCCCTTAGTCTGGATATACTGAGATAGACTAAAACTGCGTCAGTTGGTAAATAATGCACTGAAATACCCTGAAGTACTTTGAGAAGCTTTCAAAACAAGTATTAATCTAGAACCATAAAGAATGAGGATTGAGATATCAATATCCTAGTAGTGTTTATCATTATGGGAAATCACGTGAAGTCCTATTTCTAGGTATTTTGAAGATTAGAACAGCAATTTTCTACCAGTGGATTTTGGCCAGCTATTGGTTTAGAAAGCAGGTGTTTTGCTTGGTCTTTTGCAGTATTTTTTTAAAAATATAGCCTTAGCGTTGGAGGTTCAGTACTAACCTTTTGAGTCACATCTAGTCTGAAAACTTTTTTATGACAGCACCCGTTCAATTGCACTTCTACTCCTTTTGTAACAGAGGTTAGGTAGAGCTGGGTTCACAGCTCCAACTAGAAATACAGTGAAAGCCAACAGTTCCTGCTAAGGAGGTACTACATGAGAACACTTATAGGATAAAATTGATCATATGTTCAGCTATTGTATGGAAGAGAATTGTCCGAGTTGTATATTTTTTTAATAACAAATGTTGGGAGAAAACCAGACATTTTATTTTAAAGTAGCTGGTACCGTAGAGGCGATTCTCAAGTTGGTAAAGCTTACAGAAGCATGAAATCTTTTAAAGCCATCCATTATATGATTTATGGTCAAGTTTACCATCAAGGAGTGGTGTAATGATTAGATTTCATGTTTCATATCTTCTCACTTCTTGCTGTGACAGTGTGTACTCCTTTAGTTAGGAATATTCAAATCCATCTTATACAGATGGACAACCAGCTCTGAAATTGAGATGCTTACTTCAGATATCTTAAATATATGCGAGCTAGAGATACAGAAAAGCTTTGCTAGATCTGCCAGTAAGAAATAAGGTAAGGCTCAAACAAATGGGTCCACCAAGTAGCTGTCCAGACTTGATTGAACTGGAGCATTAGAAAGCAGCATGTGCTTCATGTTTTTGCAGTAATCATATCTGAGGTTGCCAACGGCCAAGCTTATTAGCAATGCTAATACTGGTAACTTGTTCTTAAAACTAAGAAATCCATCAATACAAGTACATACAACAAAACCAAGTAGGGTAAGCTGCATGCTAAATGAAGAAGCCTGCACTAAGGCAGTCTGAAGCACAAGGGATACCCTGCTACTATACGCAGAACAGGGCTCATTTATTTCCTAGTCCCTATTTCCTGTGCAGACAGCACAGGAGAGGAGCGACTGGGTCAGCACGCTGGATGTCTAAAAATTCAGAGTTGCAGGTCTGCTCGAAAAGCAGTGAAATCTGTTTGGCCACGGCTGCAAAGCGATTGCAAGCTGAAAATTATCCTAGCACTTAGGCCTATCTACTATATTCCCATATTAATACACAAGGACACTTAACAGTTTGAGCAAAAAAGCACTAGTTAAACTCCTACCACATAGCCTTTATTGAGAGCATTCTAGAAATAAGCCTTTTTATTGGCTAAAGTCAGAATTAGCATGCCTAAAAATACAGGCTTAGTACTCAATGGTTAAGGCTTGATATTTTTGTCTGAACTAGGTTCCCTAAAGCTTTATCCCCAATTTCTCATCTCAGAACTTGCCAAAGGAATTAAACCAAGACTTGAAGCATGATCACCCTCTAAAAATCTGTATGAAAAAGAAATCTAAGCTTGGAATAAAACCAAGATCTTTATGGTACTAACTTTATGAAGTCATGCCAGACAACTTGTTTTGGCATCTGCATGATAGCAGGGGAGAACTGTTTAAAGTTGGAAGTTGTGAAACCAGTTACCAAGAAACAGCAGCTTTTATCGGGTCTAAAGGATATTCCATTTAGGTTTTTAGTTTCATTTAAATAAGCAGATAGCATAGTTCTAGTTCATCCTTAGATATACCAGTCAGGCTTTTGCACTAGCTACTTTAGTACACTCAGATACAAACCGTTGAAGCTTTTAGAAGTAGAAAGAGCCAGTGACCTACAGTCGTCTTCGGGTTCATACTTCCATTTTAAACATTGAAATGCTTTATAGTATTTGACATGCTGCAGCTTAAACAAGGACATACATCATGGCTTTTCAGTTCTCAGGCCAGAGGAGATTGGTGAAGACTGGTCACACAGCGCTATAGCTGTAAGAAAAGAATTTCATAAATGCTTCTAGCATTTGTATTCAGGTTTGATTTAAAATGCAAGCAGCAGGCTTCAACTACAGATACAAAGTTCCTCAGCAGTTCCCTGAAAGGAGGAGATAACTTGGCATTACAATCTGATTCAAGTCTCCTGGGGGAGTGAAGCCATACATGTTTGTACTTCACAAGGGTCAATTTTAACTTTAAAATATATTGCAGCTGAGTAACAAACAGTGTGAGCCAGCCCTTCAGTGACTGTTTTGAGGTTTAAGAATTCCAAGTACATCACTACTGAAGGACAGGTGGTGTGACAAAGCTATATTTTGGCAGGGTATGCATTTAAAATAAGTAGTCCTAAGGAAGTACATAGCTTTTCACTTCTAATTTCTTGACCTTTTGGTTAAAAAGGAAGCAGGTACGTAACTAAATCTTGAATTCATTTTGATCAAGGGAACACTCTTGAGAATGGCATCAAGCAAGAATCCCTTTTAAACTATACAGTTTACTCTGAATTGTTGAACCTTGAAGATCAGTTCTATGTAGTAGCACACATGTACACCCCACATCAGGAACAAAGCTCAGTTTGATATATTTTAAAAATAAAGACCATGGCAAGATTAATACTAAAATGCATATTAACTTGTTTTATTGAGGCACAACAAGGCATTGTGAATAGCCCATACTTGAGGCAATCAATAGTGTAGTAAGCTGGACATTAATACAGTTTAGGGTAAGTGCAAACAATATACATTCACAGCTTTACTAGCAAGGCTACATCACAACTGATAAAGTGCCAAATTAGTGCTGATTCAGTACCCCAATTCCATGATTTCACCTTGCACAACAGGACCATCATTTCCCCCAATAATGGAACCACATATCTTCTATAAAGTCAGTAGTAAGTGCAAAGCTAGTCCCACCCCCCTCCACCAAGGTGTTTGGAGCAGCTCTTTTGTAAACATCGCACTGGATTTTAGTCCTGATAAAGGAGGTATCCCGAAAAGGTGGAGTATTTCCAGCTACTTCCATAGATGGCTCCCCGATGTAGACGCAGCCAGATCTGATCTCCCTGGAACAGCTGCAGGACTGCATGGTTACTAGCTGTTTCGTGATCAGGAGCCCCATCATTTGCATATGCTGACACTAGGACCTCTTCATTCTTCATGAGATTCACATACAGGGGAACATTTACAGCCAGTTTCAGCATGTGGAAGATGAAGACATATGTACCATTCACTGGACAGTTGAACCTACCAAGCTGGATATCAAAAGTTTCTCCAAGGTTGTTCAGCAACAGATCAAACACAATTGGCTGGTCTAGAGTTCCAGGGGCCAAGTTAGATGTTCTAGCGGCAGAGAAGGCAACTCTCATCTGCTGCGGGAGGGGGTAGACATGCACTGGTAATATGGTGGCAGCTTGGCTCGTCACTGGCATATCAACAGGGGTGATGCTGCGGGAGTCTCCCTGTCCAGAGTCCCCACTGTTAAAGGTTTCATTGTCTCGTTCTGGACTGCTCACCTGAGAGGAATCACTCCACCCTGCTGTTAAAGATCATTAGCAATGATAAATAAGTATTATAACAGAAGGAGACCCTTAAACCTGCAGGCATGATCTTAAGCAGCAAGTGTATAAGCTTTGCAACAGCTTTGACAACTTCCTGTAGCTGAAAGGACCCCAGTGAGAACAGAACTTTGAAGCTGGTTTAAATTCATCACTCACAGCAGTCAGCAGGATGGACCATAATTTAACTTTTCATACTTCTAAGTAGGAGAGGGCACTAGCTTGGAATAGTTTTAGCTTTAGTATTTGCCACATACATATATTACCATAAAAAAGCATATGCTAGCTTCTGAGGGGAGATAAAATACTATCTCTGAAAAAATTGGCAGGATTACCAAAAGCCAAGTAGTCATTTAGTCACCTTCAAGACCTGAATTTGCACTTCAAGTTACCTCAATACTGTTCTTCTGGAGCCACATTTCTTAGTAGGTCATATCAACTTATGATGCTAGAATATTTTAAGTTTGAAGAACTAGAATTGCTTTTAAGCTTTCTGCACCCCACTCCCCAAAATGGATATTTGAAAAGATAAACAGCTTCAAGTTAAAAGGGTCTAGAATGAAAACATTAGTAGATCTAAGAAATTTAAAGCAGTCACTCCCAAGTTTCAAGCCACTGTTAATTCCACTGGAAAGGAACACCTTAAGATATCAAATAAAAGTGAAGTTGCTACTGATATCTTACTGATATCTGTTAACTCACCACAATCTCACATTTCTTTTAATTCTCTTCTGAAGTATATTCTCTAAGTCCTGCCTGACTGACAGATGACCTGCTTTATCTTAAGTTTCTATGATACACCATAATTTCCCTTTATTCTTCAAAGTATGATCTATAGTTACTATTTATCTTTCTTTTCACCTATAGCACTGTAAGTCCAGCTTTTTCCAGCACATTTTCCAGGATTAAATCATCTTGTTTACAACTTTTCAAAATACATGCTATTCATGCTTGGATTGAAACAGCTAGTTTTATATATTTCTTTAGGTTTTGTATTCCAGCATGGAAGTACAGAGTAAGCCTGTATTCCCAAACAAACTTCTATTCGTAGAAAAAGTTAAAGTTTCTGGGATCTGATAGCTCACCCAGAATCAGAGGACACCATACAATTAAGGGATGAAGCCAAATGCAACATGGGAACCACGCTGTGTTTGTTTCCTGGTCCGTTTATTTGGGAAGAAAGTTCAGTAAGGTACCATTGTGTCACAACTTTGACATGTGAAGACACCAAGTTGAGAGGTGACATTAAGTCTGCTTCTATGCAATGCTGACTGTCTAAGAACAGTACTTCAGCTTTCATCTACCTTGGTTAATTTATACCAAGCTTGATCTGTTTTATCAGTGATAGTACACTTTTTCCTCACTATTCACAGTAACACTCCACTTCAGCATCTGCTATGCCCAAGCACATATGTACCGCTGAGGACCTGATGTTAACCTTACCTCTTGAATTTGCTCGAGGACCACTAGTTATCCCACCTCGTTTATAGCACTGCTGGTAATTAACATCCTAAAAAGAACAGAAGTATTAGTAAGATTGCTATAGGCAAATCTGAAAGCAAGTGGGACTACCGAATATAGTATTTTTTCTTTTGCACAATTAATTCAAGTTTAGAATAAACAACGATGGAGTTCAGAATTAAGATGTAGATAAACAGCCTTATTTATGGAAAATTTAATTTTATACAAGCTATTATAAAAGTAAAGAGCTATTTCAATGCCAGTTCTAGCACGTTAGCTTCTGAACTATACGTTCAGTTCAATAAGCATTACCTTAAATCTCAGGTCTGTTACAAGTCTGAGTCTGTACAGATGAATATTTCATTTCAAAGCCAAAGACCCTCCTCCCACCAGGAACCTTTGCTTTCTTACACATTTCTGGGTTTTTTTCCTAACCACATTCTCAGCAATCCATTTACGGGTTTGTTATTTTATACTACAAGGCATTGAAGACTAACTTTAAAATCCATGGTAAAATGGACTCATTATGCCACATCTTATTTGCCATCTGTTTGCATTTTGGAGATTCCCTTCAGACTAAAATCAAGTTGTCATACAGAGATGTTATTTGTCTGAACTGACTTCCTATTTCAACTGCTGTCTACTGTTCCAAAAAAAGTTTCATCTAGGAAACAAAACTAAACTCTAGCTTGTAAAGAATACTGCACCTGTTAGGATAATGAAAAGCTACAGTATTAGAAGACTTATCTCCCATACAGCGCTCAAGAAGGCTACTAGAAACAAAGTCAATGCTTACCCTCTGAGAATATGGCATTCCAGCATAATCTCTACCAGGGAACTGCAGCTGGCCATAGTTGCCATTAGTTATTGAAGGTGAGCCTCTGTAAGCATCAAAACCTGTTCAAATAAGGTTGATTATTCAATATTATTCATGGTTTGGTTTACAAGTACAAGTCCAGAATATGACGAGCTCCCTTTTGGCAATTACCGTTGTATTACATTATGAATTACACATCTACTCCGTATTTCAGAGTCTCACTACTCCTGTAAAGAATGCATTTCATTAGCTACTCTGTATGTATCAAAATTACATGTTTAGAAGTATTAACATTAGACCTTAACAATTGTCTGTTTGATATTAATGAGACTTCACAGAACAGCTGAAGAACTTGCTAGATTCAGAGACAGGATTTAGCAGAATTAAGAAATGCTTTCTTTTGCTACTACAGATGCTTAGCTATGACTGTTACACATTTAACTACTATAATATTTAGCATCTTTAGCTATTAGACTAACTACCAAACACCTAACTGCAGGTAAGGTAGAACTACATAACTCATTTTCCGGTACATGTTCCTACAAGGTATTGAGCAGTCTCAGCCCAGTAACTGAAACAACTTCGATGACAGACTAAGTGCCCTTCTACTTCAAAATGAAATAGGCCACAGCTATCAACAACCTTAACTTGGTGTCTGCTGAGAGTCAGCTGAAACTTTCCATAGTACTTCAGCTAGCAGCAGAATAGCAACTGATTTGCAGAGACCGAACAATCCTTCTCTTAAAACCCTTCGGTTTGTTATTAATCCAGAAGGGCTCTCAACTACCAGGAACCTCTCCCCCCATCCCAGTTTCTGCTGGTAATATTAAAGCCAGCAGTGCTAAGCAAAGGGTATCTTGTTTTGGGCAAATACCGCAAGTGACATCTGAAGAGAAAGTGCTAACATTCTGGGTGGGTAAGACAGATGCCAAGAGAAAGAATAAAGGGGGTAGAAAGTTCAGAAAGGTATACGAAATAGCAAGCAGAAAAGTCTATACAGTTACATACTTTAATAACCTATTATTGAAAGTTTCTGCTTTCATAATTCAAAATGCTATGAAATTGCTCTGCCAGTTCACCTGACACCCAAAGTACAGGGACTACAAGTAAGAGTCAGAATGAACTCACTTAAATTCTACAAAGGAAGACCCCATTCTCTGCACATTGCTCTTAAAAAGTCTTGTTTTAAGAAATTTCACATATAGAACCTAAATTTAATACCATGTTGTGTTAAATCATTTTCTAGTGTTACTATATTAGATTTTTTATTTTTTAAGGTGGTAGTAAATACATACATACCTTTGTACCCACCAGGGGAACGATACGAATTAGCCAGTGACCTTCCACCTCTAGCAGATCCTCTGACAGACCCACGACTGTTAAGGTAAGGCTGAGGCGGTCTGGGAATAACATTAGTCTGTGCTGGATAAAAGGCAAGGCTACCATTGCTAACAGGAACAGCTCCATCAGGTTGATAATTCACTGCTTAAAACAGAAGGCACGGATTAATTCAAAGCTTTTATAACTGTAATAAGTTACCACACCTAGAAGCAAGGGCAGCATTAGGAAGTTCAGAGACTGATTAAGCTGCTCTGAATATCCTGTTCTTGTGCCCCTTCATTATTCCAAATAAGTGGGGATCCTCCCCTTTGGTCTGTAGAGTGTAATGCTTGTTAAAAGTATACTGTAGACAGCCCAGGCTGTCAGTGTGAACCTCTAATGCATTCAAGATTCAGTTGCCTAGGTCAGAACAAGCTTGCTAGCAGCATCAAGAAAATAACCAAGCTAGAATAAAATCAAGTAGCACCTGATTAAGAATTTTCACTTAGAACCAATACTGTTCTACTAGCAAGACCTCAGTGGTCTATCTGATAAACTAGGTCACCTCAGTGTTGACATCCTTCAAAGTGATGAGACAAACTCAATCTTATCTACATAGCAATAAGACAACTGTGGAAAGCTAGATATTTGGGTTCATTCTCTTCAGACATTCCTACCACATGTTATTAGGCAGTTCAACCCCAAGCAACAGGTATTCAAGAATACTTTTCACTCACAGGGTGGTTGAGTGGTTAGCTTTAGATACAGACATCATAACCATGAATGTGTTTCCACAGGACCATGCTTTTTATCAATCTGAAAAGCTTAAAACTGATCCAGAGTGACAGTCTAAACCCCTTTCCAAAGTCTGTGCAGAACCACTGCACAAGATTAATCAAAAAATCATGATGTTCCATCAAAAAACTGTATAGAAGGCTGATCACCTGTAGTCTCAGTGATGAGAAGGAGCATTCAAGCTAACCATGCTTTCCTGACTGCTATACTTATATTGTTCTTTGGAGCTCTTAATCTTCATATGTCTCACTAGAAATAGACTGATACTATGTGAAGTCAGTATGATTCCTATCAAGATTCCCCCAGCAGAAACACAGTAGCTTTAAATGACCTTGAGTCACTTGGTTAGGTAGTCTTATAGATCCAGATCCCTAATTGTCAGCTTCCTTTCACCCTGGAACCTGTTTCAGGCATATTTAGGGGCTAATTTCATTTCAAATTTAGTGTTAGCTATACAAATTCACCTGGTACAGTATCTGAATGTCAAGCAGGTCAGTTGTGCTAAATAAGGCAGCTCAAGACCCCTCCTATCAGAAGTTTAGTATTCCTCAAGTCAGACAAAACTCATCCCAACTTTCTTATTTAGCTTTCAGCAACTCCCAGCACTAGACAGCACTAGTGTCTTACCAGAGACCAATTAATGGTTCCAAATAAGAGTATTTCATCATTGCTTCAACTCCAAGCAAACAATTGTTTGACTGACAAGTATCACTGCATACTTGAATTTCCCACCTACTGGGAAATTCAGGCATGTAAGTGACACTGTCCATGCAACTAGCATAGAAACTAGTTTGAAGCAGCCTTTCATCCTGCTAGGAGTTTTGAAGTTAGGTTTACATACCATACCATCAAATAGATTAGAGTTGATGTAACCCTAACATTAACAGGTGCTATATAACAGTGCTTAAGAATTTCACTGAGTTAAAAGAACTCACAGCACATGTTAATGAATTAATACTACTGCAACCTGAAGATCTTTAAAGACTACTTGAAATACAGATACAAGTACAGTTCTCACCTGAAGACAGAGATTCTTGTGAAAGAGAGGTTTGTTCTGCAACATGAGAAGACTGCAATTGGCATTGAGGAGGAGTCTGTGTACTTGCTGTAGAGAAACTCTGGTTATATCCTGCAAAAGAATCCTCTTTAATTTCCTGGTCTTTACGCGGAGGCAGTGGTGCATTCACTTTAAATACCTACAACATATTTCAAGACAAGTGCTTAACACTACCACCTAGAGTCACTGCCCTAATGCCACCACCCTGCTATGCCATAGTTTAAATCCATATGCCTAGATCAGTTTCTAGATTATTTCGAAGAAACAGTTGGTGATCAAGAACATTGTACTTCAACCCACCCTTTTCCCTCTCAATAAACTTACAGAATGTACTCCTGTTTAAATAGCTGCTACCCAAGAAACATGCTTGATTGACCATAGCTACCATATTTGATCAACAGAACAGCTGCCATACAATACGCTATTTTCCTTCTATGGGAAATCCACTGTTAAATTCACAGACTACCTGTCCTACAGCTTTTGACCTGAAGCTGGGACAGCCTATACCAAGATGAGATATTCACATTTGGGAAGAGTTTGGTTCTTTATACATGTCTTGGAACCTGATGCAACACTACTATCCACTCAACTACCATATTAGGCAGCCTTCACCCCTTTGGTAGATTAAGCCTCAACTTTCCTACTCATTTTAAGTTCCCTCAGACTGAACATGTAACCTAAGTAACAGTCTTGTAATTCAAATTTTAATGTTATAGCCTGGGCAGTAGGGTGGTGCGCAGATATTACCGTTAAATCTAATCAACCAGAGTTCAGTCACTCCAGTGACTGTACTGCTTTATAGCAAATAACCCCAAATTGCCAGAATTGACACTATCAAAAGTGACACCTAGTATCAAGATCAAATAGGAAAGTAGCATATTTTGAGTAGAAGGATCTAAATTTCACATGAAGAGCTGTCAGCAGTACTGATACTGAGTCTAGAGGTGTATCTGACCATTTTCCAAGACTATAAGCTGTCTGAAGACAGACCAGGGCAAAACTACAACTAGATGCAAGGAACAGCTTCACAGCTTGACAATTCTTGTCATTTGCAGAAGCTGCTATAATTAAAATGGGAAATGAACACTTTTCCAAGGGTCAAGAAACCAAGTATTGCCTCTAAGAGGGAGCCAGCACAGAAACCCCTCGTGATACTGAAGTGTTGAGTATAAATTTTGAACCATTATAAAACACATTCTTTTTTTACTTTACCAGATGAAGTGATCAAAGTGCTCCAAAGCAATCCTCCTTTCTAAAAGAAATTTGAGGATGTTGTGCAGTTAGGCTGTCAACATCCTGGAGTATTTGTAGCAAGTGGTCTACTTTTTCCTACAGTGAGGTTTACAGGTGGAATTCTAGTAAAGGACTAGGGCTACAGATAGGATCTGCCTTTAAGCTTCCATAAGTACAATAGCAGCAATAGATGTTCAGACATCTGAGGACACGTAATCAGATGCTTCCATTACTGTCACTGTACTACCACTGTTTGGCAAGGAACCATCTGACTCCTGGCTATCTACTGAAATTCAATGGCTGTGTTTTCCTGGCAGCAATGGGAATCTAAGCAATGTAGGGAAGAAGAAAACCCTGCACTGCAAAGTTAAAGACTGCTACCACTACACCAAAGGCATTAACATCCTAGCGAGTCACAGATGTTCGCCAGTTTGACCCAAAAAATGTTTGCCAGTTTGACCCAAAAAATGCCAAGAGAAATCTCAAACATTTAACATCTCTGAAAACACCACAGCATTAATTCAAGTGAACTTTCAGTGGTACCTTTATGATCAAAAGCACTCCCAACACAGACACTAGGTTCAGATAAAATCAGAATGACTGAGACCAAGACTCCATATTTATGTCATTACAGATGCTCATCTTATACACTGCATCCCCAGAAAGACTCTGGATTCCTTGATCATAGCATGCTGCTATTTCTCCACTTCATGAAAAATCAGCACCTAGCCACTTAGCATAGTTTAAATAGATCTGGCTTAGAAAGAACCACCTCCATACCACCACTTGCCTTATTTATAGTGTATATCAAAATTCCGTACCTCTGAGGAAGGGTCTACTTGAACCTCTTCTACAAATACAGAAAACCAAGGAGAAAAAAAATTATGGTAGTGATTTACTACAGACCACACCAGGATGTCACAGATGTTTTAGTCATTAATTCCTATGCTTTGAAAGGCTATTAGCTACCTTCTTCCACCAAATACTACTAACATTTGTCTCAATACTGCAAGATGCAGATCATCCAGCAAGTTGTGGAACTGCACTAGTACATTTGTTGAAATGGACAATGCCTTTGGAGAATCTCAGTGACCTCTTTCTAAGCTTGCTTTTGAGCAAGAACATTAAATAAGGTTTCTAGCATCTTCTGAAGAAGGTATCAGAAGAGTAAATAAGACCAAGTACAGGGAAGGGAACATTAATAACCAAATGGAGACCCTTCCTCTGAGTCCCTCTAAGCTTGCACCACGGATTACCAGAGTAGCAATGTTAGAGAACATTAGTAATGATGTATGGCCTGAAAAAATAGTATCTATTTGGAAGAAACACCACTCAGTCTGCGTGGACTATTCCCTAGGCACCTATATTGAGTACTTGTTAATGGACAGGATAATGAGCTACACCAGTCTTTATAAAGGACACATTTTCCATGATTCCAGTGGACTGAGTTTTACCCCACTAAAGCAAACAGTTTAAAAAGCAGCAAGACAGGTTCAGGCTTCAGAAAGCTTTTAGTCCTAACAGCTATATACTTCAGGATTCCCTCTCTCCTCTGCAGTCTTTATTATTTGACATTTATGCAGAAGAACAGTTTAAGTACAGTCAACTTTACCTTGGAGCACAGCTATAAATCTGTTGATTTCAGGTCTGACTTCTCCCTCTTAGTTCCTTGAGGCTACTAAGATATCCCAGTATTAGATTTTGGGACTATACAGAGCAAAACCAGGATCTCTGTTCTTAGATGATCTGCTTTAAGTTCTGAAGGCATTGGAGAAGCGGAGTTCTAATCTAGGTTTAACATTAAAGCATCAAAACGATCTATCAAGTTCTGTGCTATATCAAGAGGAGCCAGTTCCCCAGTATTAGGACTAAAGTTATTAGCATTGTCAGTTATTCTTCTGTGGCCTCAAGTTGCATACTTACAGTCTGCATAGCCTGAAAGGGAGCTGCTGTTATTGTGACAGAACTGCTACTTGCTGGAGGAGACTGAAAGCTTTGCACTGGTGGTACTGGCGACATGGAGGTGCTTGAAGTAGGCAATGGTGACTGTGGCTCACTTGGGAGGGGAATAGTTGCCTGAGGGAAGAACAAATGTAATGAAAGGTCACTTGATAGTTATCAGGCAGTAACAGAAGCAGTTAATTTGTTCTAAAGCCTAGACTGACAGAAGTCAGCAGTTTCTACAGGATGACATTTGGACATAGTAGAGCTACCAAATAGCTTTTGCTTACAATTTCAAATCTTGCTGTGCATCCTCAGCAAACAGTACTTCTATTGCAGTCTCTGCTGATTAAGTGAAATGTGCCTATGAGGTACTATACATACCACTCATTGTAATAATTTCACAATAAAGAGACATTAGGTATTTTTTCCCACCACTAAGGAAATATAGAATGCCTTCTGTTCCATTTATTGGAAGATGATTCTCCGGCTGATACTAGAAGTGACTTCTCTTTTCCAAAGGAACTCAGGAAGCTTGGGGGGTTTGATTTTTTCCCTCCGAACTTCATTGATTATGTTTCAGATTAGAAACAATGCTGAGTTGTCCAGACAAAGTATTAACCAGCATTAAGTCTCATCTGTGCAGACAGCAAAGTGAAGTGTTGATTTAGAGCACCGCTATTTATAGGAATCAGAAGTCAAAAGGAATGTAAGGCTCTAGACACATTTCAGCAACCAATATACTTACCTTACCTGTATTTGTGATGCTCACCTGGGTAATTTCTATCTTTTTAGGTATCAGTGGCTCAGAAATACGTGAACTTGTCTGATACAGTGGCTGGGAAGTATATTTCTCAGTCTCTTGAGAAAGCGATGCTGATGCCTAGAAGAAGCCATACATGCACCTGCTATTACAAGAAGTACTGCAGAAAGCACAAAGTTCTGGTAGAGCTATGAAAGACCAGTGCATAAGCTGAAACAAGTGGATTTTGAAAGACCGTGACACACATTAAGTCCAAAGCAAGCGTACTAAATAGTCATCTTAACCAAAAGCTTCAAGTAATTAGCTTTAGAGATTCAGACTTAGAGTACCCTTCTTACACAAGAAGTTGTACAACTAGCCCTGCAAAGTCAGATAATTTTAAGAACTGTAGATTGCTTCAAGCAGTTTTTTTTTAACAATGAAGTCTGTGACACACACCTGTCAAATTAAATGGAAAGACATCTCTGATGTTAAACTTCTGGTAAGCTCTGCCAAACAAGGCTTCAAGAGTCAAACTTTGTTTTTCTTTTGCAAACCTGCGTGTTCTAAAGTTAGCTCACATTTGTAATGCTAAGTTTCTTAAACTTAGATACACAGCCTAGGGCTAAAGACTACCAGTCCCATTCTCACCATGTTATACCATCATCGGTGCATCAGACAGAACTGCACTTGCATACCACAAGAGTGCACTGTCACCAGGGAGCGTATTCCCCAGTTGTGCTGGGACCAAACAAAGCTTATCTACTGCTTTCCATGAGAAGCAGGACTGGAAAAGAAAGACCACACTTCAAGCCTAAGGGACTAGAGATATGCTGGGCACAAGCAACCCTAATTCCAAACAGTAAGTTTGCAAAAAACCTCAGAACATTCTACTAAAGCAGATGTTCTACATTATAGCATAGCACAAGTCTCCTGGATACATATTGAACAGCAAAATTATTTAATCCTTGTCAGCCAAGAATTCTTACAACACTGTAGAAGTGAGAGAAGGTATCAAGAACCAGGCCAAGACTGCTGATTCAAGAGGCAGCAAGACTATATCCCTGTCAAGACTTATGTTCAACTATACAGTATATTAAGGAATAGAATGAATGCTACATGCACAGTATACTGATAGCATGTACATCAGCAAAAAAACATTTAAAAAGCATGAACATTTCCCCATTATAATCTACATACACTGTATTAGAGTCCAACAGGTAAGACCCAGCAACACTTAGCAAGAGATCTTTAAGACAGCAATCAACATAAATTGAAATGCTATTTTCAGCTCTAAACAATATTTGAATGCTAGTTAAATCTTCAACTGCACATAAATACAGCTAAGAAAGCAAAGTTTGAGGTCTTGGCTGAACATCAGGAAGTCAGATTCCCAGTATTTCTTCAGTTAGTGCTTGAGAGAACACATCTCAGTCTTCAGCTTACACAAGTCTGCTATTTCACAACAATATCCATCCCAATTTATGCATCCTCTATGTTGTCATTAGAGGGAGTATTCTACACTGTAACCAAAGCAAATATTTATGCTGCTATGTTCCCACAAGAATATGCACCACACTTTCCAGCCCGCAGTTTTCATCCCACACCCTTCCCATTTCAAGGGGCAGATGTTTGCTTTGCATTCATGCAGCATTAGGAAGACTTTTCTAACCATCTTTAAGTATTCCAGATTGTAGGCTATACTGTTGCTGTTACTTGCATTCCATCCCTGATGTTGTTCAAGAATAGTTATTCAGGAGAGGCCCCACCACAGCTTTCTGTTAGGGCTGGCTATCACACAGATCTTTGAATGCCAGTGAACTGCAGGGTCTATTACCTGTGGTGTCACCAAGTCTTCAGTTTCAGAGCCAGAAAGAGTCTGCTCAGCAGATGCTAGGGAAGTATTTGAACCATGCAGTGTCACGGACGAAGCAGCAGCCTTGCAAGAAGAGAAAACTGAGATAAGGTTTCGAAAAATTATCTTAAGTGTTTGGTTTCACTGAAAATAACACTCTGGGTATTTCCAAGTAAACCTCAGAACGAGGCAGGAGCTGAAGTGCTTTGGCCAGTTAGTCTAAGTTTCTTCCGAATTCTTGTTAGTGGCAAGGAAACCCACTTAAAAGCCAAAGCAGCAAGACATACAAGCACAGTAAGTGAATTTAAGGTTCACTTAACCATGGTTGCCAAAGCTTGAAGATACTGTATCTTTGGCATAAGTGAGGATCTCAAAGATGAAGACATGCACTACCTAGGAAAGCAGCAGCATGTTCTCCTGCACACAACTATTAGCTATGACTTGAATCTATGGGTTAAATATTCAAACTAGTGCAGCATGTCTTCAACATACTGTTTTACTTTAAGAAATTTCAAACATTTGTTGCTGCTTTTCAAGCAGAAGAGCAGCCAGCTTTGTCAGCATTTGAGTGATCTTAGACTTGTAAGCTACTAAGTTATATGAAATTTGTTACAAAACTGCTGACAAGGAGAAAAACAATTAAAGTACTAAGTCTATTCTAGTGAATAACCTCTGTATCATTCCTTAGCTACAGCTCTGCCTCTTCAGAGCAGTCCCAACTTCAACTTACTTGAAGGGGCTGTTGAAGAAAATCACTCTGACTTGGCAGTTTCTGTTCTTTTGAAGCTGTAAAAGAAAAGAATGTGTTAAGCAAAATTTACTTTTAAATTCAAACACTACATATAGTTTCAGTGTGCAGTTCTACTTTTTGAAAACATTTGGTGTATGAAGATGCACACTATTTTTAGTGTATGCACTGCAAATATTTATTTAGCATCAGTAAACTACACCCAATCGAAAACTTCACTTCTTTGTAAAAGAGGACAGGTAATGTCAATAATAGAAATATTTCTACCACAATAGAGATACCCACTTTCCAGATTAAAAGAAACAATTAAATATTTAATAAACTGGGTAATTGTGTTTTACAGCCCAAGAGCCACCCAAACAATTATTTAACATGGTCCATTGTAGAAAGTTCCAATTTTCTGAACTTAGCTAGATAACTGCTCTTTATCCTGAGCTCATTCACAGCCTGTGTCTATATACACCACATCTAGACAAGTTTGTTACACAGATACACCATGTCAATTCTGCAGCTAGGTTCAGATGCACATGCCAGCCAGTGATTACACAAGCATTCCATTTCCAGGCAGATGCACCAACTTAAGCCACCTCCAGCAACAAATAAGCAGGTAAGTGGCTCAAGATGCCTTTTTTAATCAGACATTGGTATTCTTTATAATTAGACAAGCTGTCTTCACCACACCTACTGACATACAGCTCAAGCAAACCCTGTTAGTGTTTGCAAAAGCTTACATATGATTTACACTTACAGTATTACCTACCTACAGGACTACTTGCTGGAGTAACTGAAGGTGGTTGGGATGAACCAATGGCACTTGGTGAAGCTTTATCAAAATCCAGAATGGACTCCTTTTGAAAAGATGATCGGTTGGGAGAAAAAAGTTAAACTCTAGATACAAATGAAACATTCTCATTTGACAAGTTGCTGTTAGTTAATTAGAGCTAGATTCATTCATTCAGTGCAAACACACGTTGTCAGCACTGTTTTCCCTAACTCAGTAGGAATTGGAGCTTTGTGCTACAACAGCAGAGAAAAACATACTTGCATGAAGTTGTAAGTCCCTTGTATCTGAGTCATCAGATCCTGAAGTTTTTCCCTTCTCAACACTGGATCTTTTGGAAGAGTTGAAGTAGAGCAAAATTCTGCAGCTGGCTGATGTACAGGTTTAGGCACCTAATAAAGAAAAGATATTACATCTAATACCAGAAGCGAGACAAGCTGCCTTATTCAATATACTTCGAGCAACCTATAGGTGTCAGACACCATGGGCCAAGGAATTCTGTGCTGTTATTGATGTTTCCTGAATCAAGCTTTCACTTCGTTAAAAAGATCAGCTTACTGTTGCCACAACTACTTAAGCCACAGAATTAATTCACTTCATGCTGCACATTTGACTGTAAGAAACTGAAGACAATAAGTTGCCTGCATTTAGCACAAAATTAGGCATCTCCATCCAAGGAAATCCACATATTTAAGTTGAAGGCCAGCACAAACTTAAAAATCAAAGCTGTATCACTCAAGGTTTAAAACATACTTCCTCCCAGTAAAGCCCATGTCAGTAAGTGCAAATCTTATTAGGATGGCATTTCCAGATGTTCTGAAGAAACTGCACCTAAGATACATTGCAAGCACATTACTCAGGATTAGACCAAAGTGCTTCCACTAACTAGCCAGATACTCTCAATGCACCAGCTCCTGCAGAAAGTATTACATTAAACCTTTCAAAGTTCGGCATGAAAAATACACCTGTGCTCCCACACAGGAGCCTAACTTTGTAGCTAAATAAGGACTTCTGCAGGGCCTTATTACTCCTTGATTGTTTCAGATGGTCCCTTAACAGTTCATCACAACCAGTTCTCACTTCACTTTTAAAAGAGGGAAATGGCTTATGAGAGAATAGGCAAGTCTAAGGTATTAAAAAAATCATGATAGCAAACTCCTTAAATAGCAGAAGCCCTGATATTTACAGAGTGACAATAATATTAGACTGTCTAGATAGTCTAACATGTCTTTTGAAAGCAGCTTGGGGAAGAGGTAGGCTTGTTATAAGTATTTTAAAACCATAATTTTTAGTGATTCTCTAAAGCTTTGCTGTTCTTATGCTTGTCTATGCAGCTAGAGGGAGGCAAATCTGAAGACATTAAGTAGTTGCATTACTTCAACTGGCCCAAACATTGAGACACACAGGAACATGTGAAAGCCTTTACTTTCCTACAGTACAAACATTTGTCTTTCTAATAGGAGGTTACTACTTCAATACACTGTATAGCAGTATAGTTGAGTATGTGTACTAAGTCATTAGAAGACTATATGCCAGAAGGGTATATGTGTCACAACATTTAATTGTCACACTAAATTCAAAACAAATTGAAGTGCTCTTTGTCCAGTTTTAGGACAACAAGACCAAATATACTCTTGCATTTCCTCTTCAACAGTTATCTGAAACTAATCACTAGCACTTGCAGAAATTCCAATAGCATGCACAGGGAAGAAGCTTGCAGGGTTTAGTGAGCTTCACAATGTACATAATCCATGTACATGCAGCACATCATTAACTCTGGAGGACTCAATTTCTAATACCTATGTGGCCCACACAACTGCTACTTGTTGAGCTGTGAGAAGTTTTACTTTATTCTAGAGCTAGAAGGGTGCACCTTTGTACTACTCTATCTTAATTAGAATTTCTGATGCACAAGCACTACCTTAACTACTGACTATGCAAGTTTATATTGCTGTAGTTTCCAATAATGAAGAGAAACTAAAGCTATTAAGGATCTAAGCGCAGGACAAAAGATACAGTTGAATAAAGTTAAATCTCAGCAAGTTATAGATTAAGTTACTAGGAATCTGAATCTTCCTGTCCATCACTTTATTAGCCCTCACTTACAAGCAGACTTAATCTTAAAACACTTGCTGTCATGGTAAATTCATTATGGGTCAAACTGATTAATGCTTCTATTACCCTCTTCCTCCTCACTACAGTTTACTGAGACACAAGTACACTACCAAACCAGTTCTGTATGTTCACAAATGGGTAACAGCTTTTCACCTTTAAGTCACCTAACCAGGTCAAGTCTGGCAGTGTCTGAAGCTATTAAGATTGTCCACTAGCTATGCAAGTTAGACTTGTACATTAAACAAACAAGTAAAGACAGCCTCAAGAGCATGGAAGCAGAAGAGACTGCAGTGTTTCACTTGTGGTTACAAAGATCATACAATCTTCTGTATGCTTTTACAATTCGTTAGTCTTGATCTCCTTCCTCAGCTCATACTCTGTGCATTATGCTGGCAGCATTCTTTACTTCAACTAGAAGAGCAAGCATACAGGGTTACAGGAATATTAGGGCTTTAAGCCAGGATTGAAACATTGAGACTCTCCATTCTGTAGAAGTTATTTTCTGGTTCCTGCATATATTAACATACACCAGCCAGAAGTAGCTATAGCAACGTTACCTCATATTGATTTGCTGTTTTGCTGGTACTTAGGTGTTCCAAACTAAAATATTCAAGTGCAATACAGAGCATACATGAAACAGCATCAGAAAGTTAAAGTATTTCAGGTTTTATGCCTTTATAAAAGAGATGCTTTGAAAAAGAGCAGGTACTTGACATCCTTAAGATAGTTTTAAACCAAGTTTTCTTTCTAGCCTACAGTTAGATGCTGTTTCTGGAAGTCATTACAAGCTGGTAGCAGATTCTGAGTTTAGTAACCTGTTAGGCCAGCTCACACCGAACTTATGCAGGCTGAGATCACTTAACACTAGTGATTCAAGCAACATTCAGGTTAGTTTTACACAGCACTGATAAGTTTAGGGTCTAATTTGTTATAGTAATGTTTCTGAAACCAGCTTCAACACTACTTACACATTCACATAAACTGTTTCAACATGTATCCAGAGAACTGACTAAAAATGGAGTTGAAAAACCTATAATTTGTTTTAGGACCTGTTAAGCCATTGCAAATAAACCAATGTAAAGGCACACTGACCACTTTGGAATTTTACTAGTCAAAGTGCCAAAATACTTGTTACTCCTGTTAAAGTTTGATTTTTTTTTTTAGAGACTGAAGGCCTACTTATAACACTAACATACATTTTAACCACCTCATATACTAGCAAAACTCCATCCTATGATACAGGACCTGTGGAGTACTAAATGAGCTGGAATGGTGATATCAAGCTGTAATCACAGTGATAACCAGCTATGCCATGTAGATATACAATTAACATTTGCTTTCTACTCAGAGCAACATTCACAGCAGGTACGAATTAAATGGCACTGGATGACAGCAAAAGCCAAACTGTTTTGCTTTCAAATAGCAGGCCAAAAATTCAGCTCTAACCAAGTTTGCTGGTCCACAGGTTGCACAAACACTTAGAGTAACAGTTTAACAGGCTTGCACATCAGGTCACTCTGCTGCCTTAGGCCCAACTTCTTAGGTATTGCACCATATAGTACATTAAGTTAAATAAGCATATTTTAAGATCTTGAAACTGAGCAGTTTATTAAAAGATCTCAGAGCTCTAACAGTCATTTCAGGGAGTAAAGAAAGGTTAATTTCAGCTCCAGAAAGCAGCAGTGACATAGGCCTTTTATCTACCATGCCTAGGTCCCTGCACAAGGTCATTTATAGGTTCTCCATGGGAGTGAAATGGATCCAGCTGTAGCACTGCATTGCCTCTTCTTTCTTCATATAAGCAAAGGCAAGACAAGTTTCATTATCCAAAAAGTTTAAAATATTATTTTATTTGTTCTTTATATGCACCTCAAATCAAATGAAGACATTTATTTTTTAAAAAGTTATGGAAACTAGCTAGGTTGACAGTACACTATTTTTTACTCATTCAATATACTTTTGATATTAGGGTTTGTCAATAGCTACTAAGCAAAAATATAGCCAGCTGGTGTTTCACTATGGTCTACTATGTAAATCAAAGTTTGAATAAAAATATGCGTTGTTTACTTCATTCAGTAATCCAGCTTTAAGCAACATTCGATTTAGCTTAATTTGGCTGACTTGCACACCTGCACATTACTCTGAAGATTCCTAGACAGTTTGCAAGTTCCTCCAACTGACTGGAGACCCTCCTTTTTCCTTACTGCATCAAAGTTTTGTCCACCACTTAAGCCATCCATCTTTCCATCCTACACAAAAAAATAAGAGCCCCATCTCATTAGGAAGCATCTTGCATTTAAACTTTAAGTTAATCTGACACCAGAAATTCCAGGGCATCTTAAAGTGCTTGAGACTATTCCAATATGATATGATAGTTTCAGTTACAGTAATACTATGCATAGCTGGGTGCACAACACCTACTTGTGCTCAGAGCTACTTAGCGTGAGGCAACCAGGTTTTGTACCTGTACCACCACCACCAGTGGACACAAGATTCTACCCAGCTTGAGTGTAAAGATGAGTCAAGTTGAAACACCTTAATCCCATTTTGTTACCCAGTGCTGCATGTTACCTACTCTTTTAATTTCATGTTCAAGCTTCTGTTTGCGCTCCCGCCTCTAGGCACAAAAATTTTTCTGTTATGCCAAGTTTACTGACAAGATTTAAGCTTAATCATTTGCTATGAATAATACGGAATGAATTGACTTCTACTTTCTTGCAGAAACAAGGTAGTAGTGCTAACAAGATTGTGTACAAGAAAATTGCTCAATTCCCCGTATTTTCTCCCTGAAGTCTAACTCTAAATTAAATACTGCTCTTAATGATGTAACTGAACTCCGCTTTGCCTACCATCTTACCTAGTTTCACAGTATCAGAATCATTACTACCCAAGCATAGGTGAGACAGAAGGTAATGTAACCAGAGGCTAGCAGCCTGCTCAGGTGTAAGCCCTGCAATAACTTTTATTTTACATTTCTAAAACAAACTATGCTATTGTTAGACTCTCCAGGACAGCAGTATGGCTTATGCATTCATCTGGAAATACATATTTAAGCCCCTGTACAGTTGGTATTGCTTGATCTAGATATCAGATCTCTCTTGAATCAGCAGCTATTTTAATCAAAAGCCTAAAAAATGACTGAAGTGCTATTTGCATGCAGCCACAGACAAAGTATTTGATCCCTGGATGAGTCATACCTGCTTTGTACTGGTAACAGTGGACAGAGCCAATAGCTGGGGATGAACTAAGTTAATTCTTCTGTCTTACACATAAAGCAGTGATTCAAGGCTCAAACACAGCAATACTGTGTTGATGTAAAGCAAAGCAGAGCATCTTGCTATTCATATGTAAAGTTTAATTGCCAGAATTATTTCCCCCAAGAAAGAATGAAATAGGAGTCTAAATATAGGCCTACAAAGTGCACCTTATAAAGCCTCTGCTAATAGGTAGTTTTAGTCCAATACACTAGTGTGAAAAGCTTATGACAGGTAATACTACATATGCCAACTCACTTCTTTGGGTTCCATATCAAACTTCTTTGGCCCCATCTGCTCCTTTGGCCCAACACTTGCAGCTCCCCAGGACTTCGGAGGGTTCTGTAACTGCTGTGACGACACTTGCTGCTGCCTGTCAGCTTTTTCCCAAGCCTCTCGAGTCTCCTGCTTCTTTTGTTCTGGCTCCTCCCTAACATGTGCAGCCCAAGCCTTCACAGGCTCTTGCTTCTTTTGCTCTGGCTCTTCCCTAATGGGCATTTCCCATGATTTCACAGGCTCTGGCTTCTTTTGTTCTGGTTGCTCCCTAGTTTGGGTTACCCAAGGTTTTGGAGATTCCTGCTTTTGCTCTGGTTCTTCCTTAACTTTTGTCACCCAAGGTTTTGGGGACTCCTGCTTTTTCTGGTCCTGCTCTTCCCTAACTTTTGCTACCCATGGCTTAGGTGATTCCTGTTTCTTCTGGTCCTGCTCTTCCCTAACCTTTGCTACCCAAGGTTTGGGGGACTCCTGCTCCTCTCGGACACGTGCTACCCAGGCCTTTGGAGCTTCTTGCTTCTTCTGTTCTTCCTCTTCAACACGGGTCTCCCAGGGCTTTGTAGACTCACGCTTCTGTTCCTCTTCTTTAGCACGAACTTCCCAAGGCTTTGGAGAATCTGGTCTTTTTGGTTCTTGCTGCCTAACACGAGCTTCCCAAGGCTTTAAGGTCTCTTGTTTCTGCTTCTGTTCATGCTCTTCAATATCAACAAGCATTTCCCAGGATTTTGGAGGTTCTTGCTTTCTAGCACACTCAGCTTCCCAAGATTTGGGCTCTTCTGGCTTCTTCTTGACAGAGTATTCTGCTTCAGGCAAATAACGCCTGTTGAGAAACTATATAGACCAAAGAAACTTAATGGCTCCCAAGAAAACATTTCGCTACTACAGTTCAGGTCAGTTAAGTTAGGTCACCCAGCTAACGAAAATTTCTGACTAAAAGCAGAGCCTAGACAGTTTAAGCAGTAGCCATAGAAACTATGTGGACAGCCATGGCTTTATCCTACAACACTGCAGACTAGCTTTGCTTGGCATGCCACAGATGCATGAAACAGTCCTGAACAGCACAAGCAAAACATATTGAGCTGAATGAATCGATTACCCTTACTCTCAATGCTAACTGATGTTCCTAGGCAGCAACAATATCAAGTTCAGCTGTGATTTTTATAGTTAGCTCTCCTCCTAAGCATCTAAAATGCTGTGGGGTACTATATTAGTAGATATTCTGCTAAGTGTAGCAGCACCATCTCCCCCAAATCTTTGACCCTTTGGAATTCCAATAACCAAGTATAATCATGATTCTTAATGAAGTTTAAATACTAAAAAGTCACCAGATTCTCAGATTTAGTACCACTGGGCTTCAACTCCAGGCTGTGTTTACTGTCAATAAGTCTGAGAGTTCAATGAAGATGCCCTAAAGTTTTCCCGAGTTACTACTTTGTCATAAACAGGAAGTAAATATACCAAGCAAAGAATGTACAGGGCTGAGATTTCTCTGACAAGTCACCAAAAAAGCTTTAGTCAGGTAACAGTGTTACCAGTAGGTTACAAAAACTTGTTCTAGAGTACACCCTCTAGTGGGATACCTGGGAAATAGGGATTCAGTGTTTTAAGAACCAGTATTTCCACTTACAAAAGGACAGCCCTCCCCACATTTTGAACCAAGTCTAATGGTTTTTATGCTATTGCTAGTTGAAGCATAAGTTAAGTACTTGAAGCATAAGTTAAGTACTTAACAAATAGCTAAGTACTCAACTTAACTCAGGAGTCTTAAGTGCTGTTGAAACAGGTCTACACACCCCCATGCACACAAGTCTGTCTTGGGATCCCTACTTTTCTGACATATCAGAGCAAGACCTACATCATTCTCAACCCCACCAATATCAAGTCTACTGCAATAAGCTTAGCTTTCAGAGACAGCTTTAGTAGATGTGTATTTTCTCTATCCCGTAGTACACAAGATCAGTGTTTCTCCACTCTAAAGGCTGATGCTTTGGTTTGTTCAGGAAAGTGCCAGAGTTACTACTTTATAGTATAAAGTACTATACTGCTTCATGGAATCCCACCCCATTTATCCCAAAATACCCAAGAGAAGCCATGAATTTGGGGTTCGAAATAGAAATGCAGCCAAGTCTTTAATGCTTCCTACATAAAGCAACACCTAAGTTGCTGTTCAGGCTCCCTTTTTAAGTTTAAAAAAGGGCTGCAGAAGTGCATTTATGTTTCTGATAAATTACAATACTAAAGGAAAGCAGTTAGCAGTGGAGCATCTTACCTCCTGTGGCTGTATTTCAGACTTCATAAGCTCCATAATGGATTCTAGAGAAAGGATGTTAATTTGTTTCAACTGATCAAACAGAAAGGCAGACCAAACAGTAGCAAGTCTTTAATTCTGTTTAAATAGTAGTGCCAATTCCTAGACCAGATATTCTGAAAGCTCAGCTTGTCCTTCAACATGTGATTTTTAGACAAGCTTTTACTTTCTGTTTCGGTTTTACATTCACAGAAGTTTAGAGTTAAGCAAGAAACATTTTGTAGTACCTACAATTTGGTTATTGTAATATGTAGCATTCCCTAC